GGATATTCGACAGGCACAGAGTCATGCTTCTGCCCATCAATTCTCAATGGCAGTCTTCCAGATTGAACTCTTCATGGTAGAGTCGCCCTCTGGTGATCGTGTTCCTACCCTAACTTCTGCATCCCACCCGTCTCCACTGGTGGGTCCCGACGGTACAAACTCATGCTGTGCAGCCAAACATTGTTCAAACTCACAGATTTATTGTATGTATTAAATTGTAGTGCAGATCCCAGAGTTTGCAAAGAAACCAAATAAGCATGTTTAAAATGATGCACAATACATGAATATTTCAATTTGATGTAATAGTGCAGCCGCAACAAAAACAATGTCTTTGGGTTTTAATATTTTCACTCACGCAGCTTGAATGAAGAGCTGATGCACAATTTATATGTGATGCTTTCGGACAGAATCACACGGCCTTCAATGCTATTTACAGTAAGAGGTAAAACAGCTTGAATTCTCAATCTCGGTGTGTATTCAGTGCTGATGTTAGATCACCATCTTAAATAGAGTTTGATGATCTTGGTGAAGCAGACAAAGCCACATTAAGCAGCTACTCTGCATTGCATTTATTATCTATCAACAATGTTTTACACCAGATTAATAATACATGGAAAAGTTAGCCTCATTAAGCGTGATGCATGTGTGCTGCTTTTCTAATGTGGCTTGTTTGACACTAATGGAGTAAAGCAGGGAGTTAATGTGGAGAAAAGGCTGCTGTGTGAGGCGGAGGGGAGAGCGGCGGCTGTCTGGCAGATTGCCTCGGAGGCTGGTGAGGGACGTAGACGTATAGGCAGCAATAACGTCGTTATTGGCAGTTACTCACATGTCTCCTCATTATGAGCATGCATGTTATTTGTCACACGAATGAGGTTACATGGACATGGAGCGAGACACTCCCCCTTTAGATAACCATCGGCATGTGTTTCTATCTGGCAGACAAATGCTGCATTCAGGCTATTTCATCGTTTTCTCTTAACATTAGGTTTTTAATTAGTTTGGGTGACACCTGAAGCTTCATTAGATACTGTGTCTGTGCTGTGATGGGAGCCCCTCCTCTTCAACCTTTACTCATGTTTTTTTTTACATTTGTATGAAGGGGTCGTGTGAAAAATGACAATTTAAATATACTAGTGAAGGCCACTGGCTCCAGACTGGTGACTCTGTTTCCTCCTAGTGGATAAACTCAGCCTGACCTCTCCTGCCTGCTAACTGGAGAGAGGAATGCTGACTAAGTTTATCTTCGTTTGTCTTTGTTTGTACATAAAAGCTTGAGACGCTATGTAGAAAATATTCAGAAAAAAAAAAGATATACATTTTCATTTATGATTTAGACTAAAAACTAGACTAGAAACTGTGGTTTGAATGTTACCTGACTTAATTTTAAAGGAAGAGGCTATACCTGGACCAGGGATATTCAGAAAGCCCTGGTGTATTTCACAGTGCCTTGGGAGATAATTTGGCTGATTTACACTGACCAAATGGTTCTGCCTTGTTTCATATGCTGATGGTATCATGATTTGCAGTCCCACAGAAGAAGCATGCAAATTAGATACAGTTGTCCTACTTACATTTTTGGCTGCAAATGGTCACAAGGCTAGCCTGTCCGAATTGCAATCCGCTCTTCCTAAAGTTTTATATCTGGGACATGTCATCACAGCAGAGGGCAAAACCCTCCCTCCCCAGAGAATACAGGCAATCCAAACTGTGCCTGAACCACAAACTAAGAAACAAATGATGAGCTTCTTAGGAATAATGTCACATTATAGACAGTAGATCCCTAACTACTAAAGCAAGGCACCCCTCTCTGCCATGATTCATCGTAAACATCTTAACAAACTCACCTGGTCTGACTCCAAGACTGCTGCCTTTAATGACATAAAGAGTGCATTACTGTCAGCCCCGACCCTTGGACACCCTAAACTGGACACGCACGTTCACACAATACGTTGACCAAAAGACGGTTAAACGACATCAGTTTTGACTCAGGAACATGGGGGAAAACAAAGACCTGTTGCATATTTCTCTACAAACTAGACCCTGTTGGAGCTGGCCTTCCCCTATGTCTGTTGCTGCTACAGAGAAAGCGGTAGTGGCATCACATGACATTGTGAGCTGGCTGCACTATCACACAACCTTATTGGATTTGCCTAACATTACTGTGACACGATGTACTACCCTTAATCCTGCCACTCTCTTTCCTACTCCAGCAGATGGAGAGCCGCTGTTGCTTCCTTTAAACAGATCTGCACACCGAGACCTCACAGAGAGCTCACAGAGAGCGCCCTGCCAAATGCTGTAGAACTGTTTGTGGACAGTTTGGCATCCCGCTCGCCGGACACGAGAGAGGGGAAGGGTTGGTTGGGTTTGCTGTAGTCTCATCAAATGACACTCTGTGCATCGGTAAGTTGCAGTCACACTTCTCTGCTCAACCTGCAGAACTTGTGGCTCTTATGGGAGCCTGTAAGCTGCCGACAAAACGGTTAACATTTACATAGACTCTCGCTATGCCTTTGGCTCCCTGTGAAAACACAGAGGCTTTCTGACATCATCCGGGGAGCCCATTTCTCACCATTGTCTCGCAGCCATACTGCTCCCTAAAAGTGTCTGTGTTATAACATGTGATGCTCTCTGATCACATTTCAACAGGAAATCCCGCAGCGAATGCTGCAGCTAAGCAAGCGGCTGCTTCAGGTTACTCTTTTCAGCTCACACCACTTATGCTAAGTGTGCTACCCCTGCAGAGGGCAAGTGTTGGGCCTCATCTGGTGCAATTTACAAAAATTATGTATGGATGGGCCCAGACAGTAGGCCCTGTTTGTCACATGCTCTCTTCCACTGTTGTGCTAAATTAGCTCACGTCGAGATCATGTGGGCAAAGGGTTATTATGTCATTTTATTAATTCAGCATGATACACAAGACGGTTAAAAGTTTTTGCCCAAGAATTTTATAGAAAATGTATTGTTTGCGCAGCTAACAATGCAATGTGTGTTGGTTTTTTTGTAAATACTAAAATGGCCTGTCTTGCTGTAATCTCAACCTGATGGTAGTGAGAGCTCATAACCTCCACCTTTCTCATAAGAGCAGAAAAAGGGGCACCTGCCAAGGCCTGGACCCAGCCTTGACATCTTAGCTCCATCCGAAAAGGGAGTACTCCTGCGAGGGAGGAAACAAGATAACGTGCAGCTGGAACAAGCAGCTCAGTAATAAATAAATATACTCTGCTTTGAAAAACTTTGACTTGTTGTTAGACCTCTGAACCATCTGTGGGGTAAGAGCTCTGAATATTAAGCTGAATTATTCTGTGTGTCTGTTCAATAAAATAATGAATATACTTTAATACCAAAGTATTAACACTCTGTCTTCAGCACACTCCACTGTCAGTATAAACTGGCCGTTGTAAACTGCAACTTGCAGCAATGAGCCGTGGTTCTAGACCTTTCCAAAATATATGTGCAACGTGCGTATTAATGTGTTTTTGTGTGGAACTTTGTACTTGTGTCTATTGATTTGCGTGTTGGACACTTTCGGCACTGAGCCAGAGTTAAATCATGTAGCTTTGGCCCAAAAGCAAAACCGTAGGAGTCAATTTTGCAGCCTGAACTTGATCCTAATGCAGTTCTACACCTGTATTATGTATCTTTCTGCTTCTTTTTCTATTCCAACAGCTAATTGAGTGATTTACATATGTTGCGTGACAAATAATGGAGATCCAAATAAATTAACTATGAATCACAATGCACTTACATGGGATTTGCAAAGGATCTGCAAATAACTGACATCAGTCACAGTACAAACTGTATGACTGTATCCAACCATCAACTGAGGTCTCTGAGACCCCACATAGAAGTAATGTATGATTTTCTGCAGACGACTTCTGAAACACAACATGTTAACAATAAATTCTTATTAAAATAGGGAAAAGCATGACATATGGACGGGATTAAACACTGCTAAGTAACACTGTTCAACAATATTCACATGTTTCATGTCTGCATTTTGCATGTAAGAGAAAATGACGTATGCAACCTTTTATAGACTTTCCCTATTTGAATTGAAAATGATTCAAACCCACACTGTGCATGGATTCATCAGTTATTGTCCTGGTGTTGGCTGGCACCGTGTGGTGACAGTAAAGCAGTGCATGTGGTCACCATAAACCTCTTCATTTCTTGTAAGAGTTGGATTGTTTGGATTGGTTATCCCCTCTGCAGCACAGTTCTTCAAGGGAAACTTTACAAAGGTCAGGGGTCATATTCAAAACTGAGGCACCTACCATGATCTGATAAACAACACTTCCCAGCTTCCTCATGCAGAGGCCTTGGGTGGTATAGGGGATGTATTCAAACAATTCAATTAAGGGACATGTGTGCGTGCATTTGTATACGCCAATATGTAATACCTTGAATAATTAAATCTTACATTTAAGTCTGTTATCAAGACTTTGGGGCGAGCCAGAACCATTGTGGTAATAAGTTGTATTATATTTTAAGAGTAAATCAGCACTAAATCAACTTTATCTGAGTTATTAAATAAAATATACAGATGCCTTTTTTATATATTTGTTAAAATAACTATACTTCATGTTGCTTCCATTCTATGCCCTGGCAGTTATCAGCCCTAAAACATTTCATTTGTACAATTTAATGTTCTTCTTTCTTTCATGTCCTGCATGGGATAATATCTGGGATTTTTTCTTTTGTTAGTATAGGGACAAACAGGCAAATTGTGTGTATGTTTCTTTATGACAGAACAGAACAAGACTTCACGTGTGGTGGATGTTTAACAGTGTTTATTATACACGTGGCATCCCTCTCCCATGGCATGTATTCGGTGTAAACCACTAAAGCACCACATTAAAGCCATGTAAACTTAAGTTAACTAAACAACCAAACTTCGACAACAAAACCCCACCCAGTCTTATAAGGGCGCCCTCATTGGCCCGCGTGTCTGTAAATCCGTTCCCTCTTTATTTGGCGCGCGCCATTGGTCGGCGGTGACGACAATCCCGAGACGTGCTCCCGCCCACCGAGCGGATCAAGTTTGAATGAACAACAGCAGTCTGTCCTGGAGGTGGTAGTTGCATTTTGCAGTAATTATTTAAAAAAAAAAAAAGTGTGTATCGTATCGACGGGGGCGCGCCGATCGAGGATGGACATGAAGAAAAGAATTCACCTGGAGTTGCGGAACCGCACTCCGTCAGACGTAAGTCGGCTTCACGTCTCAATGGTGATGTTTTGTGTTACTCTCAAGCTAATGGAGAATCTCTCGTGTGATGTCTTGGCTTGGAGGAGAGGAGGAGATACAAAGTTTCTTTTGCAAGTTAAAAAAAAGATGATGGAGACGTCGGGTCACATTGTCGAACGTGTTTACAGTCGGCGGCTGCTGCTGCAGGAACTTTTGTGCACGTATCTGGTGTGCAGCTTTGAGAAATGCACCGCGGCTCTTTTCATGCCGGTGGTATAAACAAGGCAAAGCGGTACGAGGAGCCATATTTGTAACTTTTGATCTACGAACGAGCCCTCTTTTAACCCCCCCGTGTTCTTGTAATGTACTCGCTGTTTGACGATGCTTTGACTGGGGGGGCGCTTTTACTCAAAACATTTAAAGCCGTGCACTTGATGCGGAGACTCAAAGTCATGACATTACCAACGATGCGTAGAGATGAGAGCCTCGACTTGTCGCCTTACATCCTACACCCTTCATATATGTCCTCGACCCGTCCGATTGGAGTGGGTTTCATTTCTGCAGAAAAGTGCATTCAAACGTTGAGCATCTCACACCGGTGGAACCTGCAGAACCCCCCCACCACGCAGACTACAACCGGAGCCACCGCGCGCACAGATGGCCGAAAGAAAAGCGGTGTCAGCGTGGACCGTTACGCGCCACCAAGGCCGGGGCGAGAACACGGGGGGAGGGAAGAGATGACACGCAAACGAAAAAGCATCGTTTGGGTGTTTCATTCAGCCGGTTACATCGAGACTCTTTGTGCGGGGGGAGGGGGGGGGTTCAGCAGCCATAATGAAAACAAACCGTCCAGCCGCGTTGTTGCTCTAGTTTTCCAGAACTAGGACAAGCCGCCATTTTACCGTGAAACAAAGGCAATCCGAAACACGCTGAATGTCCCGTTTCATTCGACACACACACGACGACGACGACGACGAAAGGTTATTCATACCTTCTCATTAACAGAAGTATACACGCGCCACTCAATCCATTCGGCAACAGTTTTAGCGCGAGCGACAATGTAACGTTTTGCCTGGCAGCTTTCTAATGTGCTTCCGCGGCCCCTCCTACTCACAAATGACCCTGTTCACGACTCGTAGGTCTCGTTCTGCCTCCGACTTGTTTTGACTAACCGCTCTGAAGCAGACACACACACACACACACACACATATATATCTCTTATTACGGTTGAACTCGGTGACCAGTAAATAATTAAAAAACACCGACAAAACTGTCGCGCGATGTCTGTTGCAACTGGACATATTTATAGAAATATTTACGTAATGGCCGGAGGGCAATGCATCGCGTTAACTAGAGCGTTGACATGTTTTCGACGGATTATTGATGGACTGAATGTTTTTTTTTTAATTATTATAGTTCCGGTCCTCAGTGCTGATTGGCTGAGTCACGTTCCAAGCCGCGGCGAAATATCAAATAACAGATAACAGCACACCTGTGACCGCATATCAGTCTAATGAAATATCAATGCGCCCGGTGAAAAGTCAACGCTCTTAAAGACCACTGTCGTATGTGATGTATTTACAAGGGCTGTGTGATGGAAGAACGGTTTATTCGTCGGCTACCAAACATTTGGGTTCATTTGTTTTTTTAAATTTAAAGTGGGGTCTAGTTTTATGAAATCATCGGTAGTATTCAGATTTTTTACTGATGTAAAAGTAGAAACACCACATTGTAAGAATACTCTTTGATAAATCCTGCATTCAAAACGGTACTTATGGAAAAGTACAAAAGTATTAGAATTAAAATGTACTTGAAGTACCAAAAGTAAAAGTATACATTATCCAGTATTTCCTGAAAATATATATTATTGGATTATGAATATGTTTGTGTCGATTACGATTACGTCGATGTTGCAGCTGGTAAAGGTGGGGCGAATTTTAATGGTCATTATTAAATAACTGACTGATTGATTGAAATACTCAAGTAATGTACTAGTACCTCAAAATTGTACTTAGGTACAGTACTTGGGTAAATGTATACTTAATTACTTTAAGCCACTGGAAGAAAAATAGATAGACCTCACCAAAAATAGCAGTACAACACAATAGAAATACAATTGTGCTACAAGTCCTGCTTTGAAAGTTCAAGTATTATCAGATAAATTTACTTTAAGTATCATAAATCAAGATACTCAAGCATCAGAATGTTATATTATATTGTATAATATATTACCAACTTTATATACTGCTGATCTGTTGTATGTATGAATGGATCATGGTCATGTAGTGAAGTAAAAAGTACAATATCTCCCTCTGAGTGGAGTAGAAGTTTAAAGTGACAAAACATGGTATTACTTAAGTAAAGTATAAGTACTAAATAATGTACTGTAGACTGGCAATAAGCCACTTTGATTGCAGATAAGGTTTTATGGTTGAAGTAGTGTGAATCATCCTGTGATAGCTTTCTCCTTAAATAAACATTTTATTAAACGTTTTAAATTAAGATGTCTAGTCAGGAAATGTACTTCCCAAAAGCTGAAACACAATCAATAGAGTGCCAAATACTACTTGACATTTTTACAGTATATTTATTTCATAGTCATTATTGTCTAAAGCGACTTACAAGTAAAGTCACATTCAACTTCAGTCGGAATAAGAGCTACAGGTCATCAACATTCTAAGTGCATCCCTCCCAAATAAAACAAAACTATTATCAAAAGAGTTTTAACCTTGAAATAGCTTAAACTTAATGTTCAATTTCTGAACACATACTTATCATATTTTATGCACTCTGTATTTGTATTTTGAAATGTAAGAAATGATGACAGGATGCATTTGTTTGTTGTGCAGGTCAAAGAACTTGTTCTGGACAACTGTCGCTCAAATGAAGGGAAGATCGAGGGTCTGACGGACGAATTTGAGGAGCTGGAATTCCTCAGCACAATCAATGTCGGACTCGCGACTGTCGCCCACCTGCCCAAGCTAAATAAACTCAAAAAGGTGGGTGTTTTTCTGCACAAAACCAGTCCGTGACTTACAGCTTCAAGGTTTTGCATATTCTGATCGTTTGATTGACCAACAGCTTGAACTCAGCGATAACAGGATCTCAGGGGGGCTGGAAGTTCTGGCAGCGAAATGCCCCAAACTCACACATCTCAACCTCAGTGGCAACAAGATTAAAGACCTCAGCACAATAGAACCATTGGTAAGTGGGACCCAAAAGTACTTAGGGGGGGAGGGAAAAAGCACAACATACAAAAGCAGCTGGCTGTTATTATTCATCAAACTTGATTCTTCCTTTGACAGAAAGAATTGGCGACCCTGAAAAGCCTAGATCTGTTCAACTGTGAGGTGACGAACCTGAACGAGTACAGAGACAACGTCTTCAAGCTTCTACCCCAGCTCACGTACCTGGACGGGTACGACAAAGACGACAAAGAGGCGCCAGACTCTGATGCCGAGGTCTACGCTGAAGGCTTGGACGATGACGACGACGATGAAGACGGTGAGTTTTGAGGCTTTGCGTACCGTCGCGTGTTCTTTCTAGCAGCTCTTGAAGTTGCTAATGTTGGTGTTTGAACATTTGGCAGATTTTGGTTTTAACAACTAACTGTTTTTTACCAATATGTAGACGAGGAGGAGGAGGAGGAGGAGGAGGATGCAGCACCAGGAGATGAGGAGGAGGAAGAGGGAGAGGACGACGAAGAGGAGAATGAAGAGGAAGAGGAGGAGCTAAGTGGAGAGGTGAGAACAAATGAGATTTACACTTTAAAATGTTCAGGCTGAAATAATGACACTAACTTTGTCTTGTCTATTTTTCAAAAAGGAGGAAGAGGAGGAAGATCTGAATGACAAGGAGGTTGAAGACGAGGATGATGAAGGTGAGTAAAATGGTGGCTGACATTTAAACTCAGAAGCTGTCTCCCAGTTCCATACTAGTGTATATAACATATTTCAAATTGAATTAAAAAAACTTCCAAGGTTGCTCGCTAGTTTTTGTTGGTGCCACGATTTTCACAAAACCAGCTCAGGGAATTTGCATCGTAGTACATTCAACTCTGGTCAGGAAGGATTTCCTCTTTCTAACTGAGAAAAATATTTTTTGTATTGAAATTGTATTGTGCAAAGAAATAGGGATCCACTTGTGAAAACGTTTCTCCATAGCGCTACTAGTGGTCAAAAACTCAACAGGAAACATTGAACTGTTTTTAAACTGAACGGAGACGATACGATGCAAAGGCAATAACACGTAGACTTCAGAATCCCGTTGACAATTCAACCGAAGTGTTTTTACCAAAATCCAAAAGTAATTCTTTGTCCTCTGAAGTGTTACTGAAGCTGTTTCACTACCGTTCACTGTTAGTTGTCATTTTCTACAGCTGCGAGAGGCTCCTCCGTTCTCTTTGTGCATTGTGGTAGAATAGAGAGATTACAGAATAAAACGATTTTTAAGATTCATTTTGCCTCAGACTCGGCTGATTCAGAAAACCTTTATTGTCCATCACAAAGAAATGTAAATTTGACTTGTAACGTGAAAAAAATTGCGTACAGTTTGAGCCGGCGTTGCTGTCGTCGTGACGAGAGAACCTGAACGTTAAACCGGAAACATTGATTTGCTTCTGGCGTTTGTGTCCTTTTTAAAAAAAATCTGACTCTTGTTTTCTAGAAGAAGAGCGAGGTCAGAAGAGGAAAAGGGAGCTGGATGAAGAAGGCGAGGAGGATGAAGACGATTGAGAGTCCTCTGGAAGCTAAGTTGTGAACTGTTTTAAACCTGTATCTCCCTGTCTCTTCCCAACAGCCCCATGTATTTTACCCCGTTTCATATTGCAGTAGGAGTGGTTTTTGTTATTGGCCAGTCAGGTAGACGGGGTTGTCTGGGTAAATAAGTTAAATTTATGTACCTTTTGATGCTCCCATGTTCCAGTCTTTACTGTCCACTTTTAACTGCATTGTGGACACCAATTTTGTAATATCAAATAATGGCAAAGATAAAACCTTTTTAAGAAATGTTTTTTCTTTTCTCACCGTTTGTGTAAGACCAGTTTCTGATGACTTGTGTATTTTAAAAGGAGCCCCCTTCAAAAGAAAAAAAAGAAAATGAAACAAAAAAAGAGTGCATGTCTTATACATTTTAAAGTCAACTACTGGAATCATGTATGGCTGTCCTCTCCTCGTCTTAAACTTATTTTTGCATTGTATTTTTATTTTTAATGTAAGTTATGTATTTGTAGTGTCACCAGTATGCCAATACTCTGCTGTCCTGGTGTGAAACTTCTGTCTGAACATGCACAGTGTGACCCCTCACCGGGCATATTTTTAAATCATAGCAAAACAAATGTCTGCCCTTGTCAAAGCTGCTCCTCCTCCTCCTTAAACCCTCAGCTTTGATAGTTCGGAAATTACGTGTTCTTGTAAATAATGACCAAATCTATTTTTTTGTATTCTCTTTGATGACGGCAGACATTGAACAGACAACTGAGGTGAAACTATGAATTGTAATAAGATATTAAATATGTATGCTGCTTTATCTAAAATACGCAGTGTGAAATTTCTTGGAATTTGAACATAACTTTGTATGCATAATCTTTCCATAAAGACAAATGTTCAACATCGGATCTCATTATCGCTTTTTTTTTCCACGTTCCTTTCTGTGACACACGGGTGGCAATGTTTGTGGTGGTAGTGTAGAGAAGTGCTTGATATAAATGGAGGTTACATCCGCAACTTATGTGCATTGAAAATGAATTGTTTCAGAGACTCTGGAAACGGTTATTTGGACTTTGTTTTCACTATTATACGTACTGGTCAAATTGGCCTACCTCAGTGATTTTTCACACTATGTTAAATCCACTGTCATCAACCAAATTGTTTATTTTCCCCTCCCATTCACATCAATAAATCCCTTTTTTATATATGTTTTGAAGTTTGTGGTCCTTGTACAACACAGTCAAATTCAAATGGTGATTCAGGATTCCAGTTATAAGGTATTGATGATGGAAAACTCATCTCGGATGCATGTTCAGCAGAGTGACACCTGGTACTTTTACTCTATTTTGAACAAGACCTAAAGCACTACCAAAGACCAAACCTAGAAGATTTAAGCCGGGGTTTACTTGATTAGTGCCAAACTAATTGGGAGGAACTGCCATGGTACTACTGTCTAAGCCAAAATTCAACACAATTCTTCCAACAACTGTACAAAAAGAGTTTCAGTCATTTTAAAAACCTGTTATCCTAACTTCCTAAAGAGTTACCGGCTGCGTGGTTGGTTTTATTCCTCAGTACACCTACATGAGAAGCCCTGACATGACATAACTCCAGCCCGACTGCAGCTGATCCATCTCTGGTAGATCCGTTTCCCACTGTCTACTTTCACTAGCCCTTTAACTTTTCCTGCAAGAAACATACGCAATTACCATTAATGTGTCAGTGGCTCAAGTCAACAGTTAAAGGGTTCATATGTTTTTGTTTCTTAACGGAAGCTATAAAGCGTTGCACCCTTTACGTCCCGACCTCGACTTTTTACTTACTTTCAAATTCCATTCTTGCTACTCATGCAGGAGATTCATCTTTATTTTTCTTAGTCCATCGGGAGCAGAATCAGTAATAACACAAGGCTGAATATGACTGGGCCTGGATTAAAAGAATAGTTTTTGGTAACTGCTTGAGTGCCTGGCTGTCATAATAGATCCAATCTCATGTGAAACCGGTGCCCACAAGGAAAAAACAGTTAAATGGTAAAACCGAGTGATTTATACTGCAGTGTAGACTAAGTCTGTTGGTGGTACAAGTGGAGGAGGAGAGGCAGATGACCTGGAGGCTCCAGATCAAAATTACACATCTACAGTTAAACACATCTCACTAATAGTGACTAACTTAGTTTTAAATGTAAAAGGACGGTTATTATTACAGTTTTGTGCACTGTTAGAAAAAGGCAGGATTATATTTGTATACCTTAATTGCAGTTATGTTGTCTGAGTCAAAAGAACTAATACCGTCAAAGGTACAGTTTCACACAAATCTTGCACCTTTTCAATCGGAAACATTCAGCAAAAAAATCTATCAAGCATCACAATCATTACTTGCGCAGCCACGTCATACAAAAACAATGGGATTAAAAGATGTACATGTTATTAGCTAAAAAGGTAACATGTGACAAATAAATAGAAGTAAATATACATTACGCTCCTCCATCCTCAAAATGAGCCCTAAAATCCAATAACAGCCTGCAAAGCTTCCCTTGAGACTATATTCCAGTTACATAAGTGGATCAGTGTCTCCCCTGCTGCTTTCCCAATATTTAAATAAACAATAAAATACTGAAAGTGAATGAACTCTCCATTCTCCTTAGGAGGAAAGGCTGTACTCCGGTAGCTATGTCAGTATTGTGAAGTCAAATTATAACCAGCAACATCTGTAGGTGAGAAAATAAGCTACGGGATAAGCGGCTCTGTGGAAAACATGATCCGTGTCCGAAAAAAGCTCGTCTTGTCTGTCAGGTTCAAAAATATTTCACGTGTCAGCCATTTTGAAATGAGGTTGCAGCTCGCTGCAGCAGGGTCTAAGGCCTTGTGGAAGGAAAACAGGAGCCAGTGACGGTCTTTTTATCCTCTAGTTTTTCTTCAAAAAACGAGGATTAGATGGTGGTTTGGTCATTACAGGAGGAGTGTAGGGGCTGTTTTTGAACGGTGACTAAGGTATTTCCACGTGAATGATAGGGTAGGCACAGTGAGACAAACTCTCAGGAGGTCTGGCAGAAACTAGATCAAGAGTAAGTTGTAAAACTAGATAATACCTAAATGGATTTGAACTCTTTCCTTGTCTCCATTACTCATCATATTTGTCATTATTACAATATTCCAGTAATTGCACCAGTTAAGACATTATCCACCACTTATCATATTATTGGGTGTACTATGCAGGGCAGCAGGAATGAAGTTATGATATATCAAAAAAGAGGCATAGGAGGGCTCAGAAGCTTGTCGGAGGTCAGAAATTGGAGGCAAAGGAAGCAGCTTTGGCAGTCCAGGGGGCTGAGAGGTCAGACGTTGTTGGGGCTAACGTTCTTCAGGTTGTTGAGCTCCAGCTCCAGCTGGCGTATTCGCACGTCCTTGGTGGTCAGCTCCTCCTTTAGCCGCCGCAATTCTTCCTGCTGCCGGAAGAACATCCGCAGGAGCTACGTAAAGAAAAACAAGAACTTGTGCATGTAAAAAATACACTTTAACATTCAAGCATGGAAAGCTATCGTTAATACAGGACATTTGGAGAATGTACAGTCGCTTCTTCACCCATTCAATCAACTAAATCGACCCAATCAATTGATTCCTTTCAGTGCAGCTCACATGATCCTCATTTGTCTTTTTGTTTATTGAATTTGGATCCCAATAAACTGTAAAAGCTCCTCTTTGTTGGGTCAATAGGTGAAAACAGTCCAAGAAACAGGACATCATGTATATAGCATGGACCACGCTGGTTAATATGCAGTGCAATCAATGCTATCAATAACAAAGCCGCTATTGCTCCCGTTATCTGCGCCAGGAGAATATGATATCGGTTGTGTATGTGCCTGAGTGTGTTTGTGTGCATCTCTGTGTCTGTCCACGGCTAATCTCGCATACTGCTGCACCAAACTGCTTAATATCTGCCCGTCTGCGCAGAACGGGTGCCGACATCGGCCTGGATTACAATGAAAGCGTATCTTTTGTGTGAGCTGTGCGCGTGAAAAACACGTCTGATACACTCCCAGTCTTTATGGGCTGTTAGCCAAATGTGGGTTGTCTTCATTCAATCAAACATTAAAGCAGCGGTCGTTGCGGACACACCCGGCGGAGATGTGCACTCCACTGAGTGCACCTTTCTAGTTCAGTTTGCTTCTATGTTCACAGTTAGTTGTAATGTTCTGATTTCTCCCTTGCAACTGTTTTCTAAATCTAGTTTTATTAAATACTTTTATAATACAGGAACAACAGGGTAGAGTAATGACAGTTGTGTAAAGCGATTCACAACATTAGCTGTTCACACACCTCGTTCTCTGTCCTGGGTGGAACGTTCTCCAGCAGGTCGATCCCGTTCACTACCATACTCTTCTTTTCCTTCACTGGGGCCTTAAACACTAACTGGTGTGGTCGCTGGTAACCCTCCTTCAGGGACATTAGGACTGGGTCTGTTTGCAAAAAGTGAGCAAAAACATATGAAAATCCACCTTCTAAAAACACTTGGAGGTTTCAGTTTTGTTTTCCTGCTGTTGTGTCAAAGTTTCCCTGTCAATATGTGTCTGCATTTGTGTGTTGGACAGCCACTGGCTTTCAAATTTAAATCTAGCTTGCCCGGGGTATGCATGAATTTCAGATTTTAGAGATGTGCATTGACATCTCCCCCTTCAGTGGAGGGAAAACATGCACCACAGTGACAAACTTTGCACAGATACACGTCAGTTTAGTCACGCTCAGACATTTTAGGGGACATAAATATAACAAAAATACATGTTTTGAGTGGAGGGTATCTTTAAATATTTGTCATACCTAAGAAATTACTTCTAGCACATCGCATCACCAAACGCAGGATGATATGCTGGTATTAGATTAAGATCTTTGCCTGACGTTGGTTTGTATTTGGCAAAAAGTGGAGAGGAGAGTCAAACCAATCCACAGTGTGTGTGACGTGTTGTTTACCTCTATTAATGCCGCTCAGCCATTCACTCGCTGAGAGCGCAGGTTCTGTTCCTGCTGTCATGGGGTAGATGTCCTCCTGGTATGTGTCCGACTGTAAACCAGGAAACACAACAGGTTTTAAGATTTCTTTGTCTCAAAGCAGGTATGCTCCGATGAAGGTCCTTTAGACCGAAAGCTAAAAATAAAGTGTTCTTGAGATTTAAGTGTGCGGGTATCTATTCTAGCAGTTTGAGCTTTTTGATACTTCCAGCACCTTATTTAAGATAAAGCCGGATGAAGTGGTGGTTATCCTGCATAAAATGTAACCTCTCTGCATGCCTCAGCAAGCACTTTGACACGTACTGGATTCTTCTTTCTGTTTTGGTCTCAAGTCAAATCAGTAAAGATCCATTTGCACTCAGATGAATTACATCTGTCCTTGTTAGCTCTCAGCTCTGTATTTGTGCTCATTACATGCCAGAATACTGTATGTCCAAGTGTTGCCAGGAAAAGGTTGATTACAATCAGACGAAAACTACATTATGGCTCTTTCACCCATTATGTGCTGGATAAATGTGGCATATTGCAGAAATGATAATAATGAGAAAACAGAGGAGAATCACTTCATTCCATGAATTCCTTCCCACTCACCCTTCTTGGGACAATCATTGAAATGGGCTCGATCAAACCCTTCAGAGTGACGAGCTTGTAGAAGCGGTACACCTCACAAGCTCCCACATCCAGGCCGTGCTTCGGCATCACACCTGCAGACAAAAACAAGGAGAGCGTAGTTGACACAGCCGCTTTGACAACATGACATACTTTCCCAAAATTTACGGCCAATTGAAGTCACATCAACATGAGAAAAATAGCAGGAGAGATCATATATTACTGGACAACAAATGACTTACCGAGGCCTTTCTGTGGGGCCGGGGACCGGAACTCCGTCAGGTATTGGAAGTACGGCTTCTCTGTGGTAATCTCAAAGTAACGGATGTTGCCGTCCCCCTGCCGAGGCACCAGAATATGTCTATTACACCACAGATCAAGAGGTAGCTTGAGTTTCAACCAAGTCACATTTTTTACATTTGGTGTCTTAATGTTTTAAGTACGGCCTAATCGGATTTGGTGCTATGCAACGAGTACCAGAATTTTAAATCCTTGAAGTTACTTTCAAACTAAGGGGTGAGTATTGAACACTAGAGCACTAAAAATGAAGGTCTTTGAGCAACCATCTTGCCAGTTCAAAACACACAGAACTAAATAAAACCCTTACAGCACTATACAGTATAGTTTGCATGTCAGTGCAGTAATGTGTGAGAAATCTTGTGTGAAGTGTGAAATCTTGAAAACATTGCGCAGTTTGAAGAGACATAATTCATTCATTGTGGGGCATTTCTCATCTATACAAGATCCACATACAGCTGGAACTCACTAAATAAACATTCTGACATCATGCATAGTGTGGATAGTGAGTCAGTGTGTGATTCCAAATACAGCCTTTGACCTGTTTATTTAATTCATTTTTGAGGCACTTCCTCTATATGTTTTGATGTTTATAATGTTATGCAAAATGGCCACATTTTCAATTATTTATTCTGTGAATTAAGTACGTATGCTCTTGTCACTAAATAAAAGGCATTGTTAACATTTGTTTGTAGTTCATTGCTTTGTTTGGTATTTGCCATTTACGATTTGCACTGATTGCCTTTATCCTGTTACCTTGTCAGTTAAATTCAAAACAATAACAACAAAGCTGTACAGTTTTGTTCATTTGATAAACTTCAGCGTCGAAAAATATGCCAAAATGTCAGAGTTCAATGTGGATGAGAAAGTGATAAATCTGAGACATTTTACAGTCCTGAAAAATAAATTCCTTGTGACCCAGTAAGGATCAGCGCTGACCTTGCCTGCCAGGTACAACATGTGTGTGTCGGCATCATAGAAGGGAAACAACAGTCCTGAGAGGCCGTCTATGTCCTCCTCCACAATTGGCATGGACAAATCCTCCTGAGAAGAACAACACACACACAGGGAATTCAACACACACACACACACACACACACACACACACACACACACACTAGCTCCACCCACTCTGGCATTACTTGTGTGCAGCCATATGGAGGTATTGTCTGACCTGATCCCAGAGAGCGATCTGCCGGGTGTTCCAGCGTGAAACCCCTGTGGTGAGCAGTCGCTTCATGTTGCCCAGGAAAACCACTCGGTTCACGCGGTGGTTCTTACAACTGGCTTGCTGGTGGAGCAGCACACAAAGACAGAGCATTAATGATACATGCAAGGTTCTCTTATACTGTATATTATTACCAGTATTTATTCTTGGGACTATCATATTGCTGTGACAATACAGAGAAAGGATGCAAATACATTTTTTAGATGATTTAGATTTAGAAGATTTAAAACACCCAAGGGGCATTGGCTCTATAATAAGGGACCCTTCAATAATATAATGGCATGAATTAAGACTTGCATGATTCCATGCAGATTTTATAGTTAAATACAACAGCTAACAACTTGCTTTGTTTGGAGTCTTCTCGAAAGTAATCTGTATTTCATGATTTGTTGCTGTTTTATTTAACAGCAGTAAATATTCTTGAATTATTTAAGTGACCTACAGTCTACAGATAAGACATTTTATTTGACCAAACGTTTGGCTTTAAAAATGAAAGCTGCAATTTCTGCAATGACGTTTAATGGCTCGAGACCTGCTCAAGAACCAAAGAGACTATATGTCCATATATGACACCTGAACATTACACAATATGTGGTTGTTAAACATCAAATTCCCAAAACCATCAACATCAATCTGCTGCTATAACAGCCACTCTTCTGGTTTCAGGGTCTCCACAATGATTTTGCAACCTGGCTGCAGAGATTTGCTCCCATTCAGCCACACAAGCATTAGTGAGGTCGGGTGCTGATGTTTGACGATAAGGCCTGGCCTGCTGTCGGCGATCCAGTTCATCCAATGTGTGATGGGATTGAGGTCAGGGTTCTGTGCAGGCCAGTCAGGTTCTTCCACACTAAACTGTGATTGTATTCTTTTTATGGACCTCACTTTGTGAGTGGAGGAACTGTCATGTTGAAACTTTTACCCTGTTGTGTAAAATATCACAGTATGCTGTAGCAACAAGTTTGACCTTAATTTGAAATAAAAACCATGAAAAACAGCTTCAGACCAAAAGTAAACAAAAGTACACATACTTTGATGATGAACTTGTCATCTATTATTATGTGGATAAACAGTTGTTTCTTTAATGTGCGGGCACACTCCCATAAAACCACCAGCCCCGTCCCGCTGACCTGAAGGACGGCCCCGGAGCGCGGCTCAATGACGCGCAGCTTCTTGTCTTTGCAGCTGGTGGCCAGCAGGCTGCCGTCTGTGTTGAAGGACATGCTGAGGATGACGTCCGTGTGGCAGTCGATCATTTTCACCGGCTCTCCGATCTCCAGGTTCCAGATCAGGATCTGAGGGAAGGATTGTTTGGGTGCAGCTGTTAGATGGCTGCGAGGCTTCAATCAGTGATGTGATTATGTTGTCAGCTTTTTGAATGGAATTTGACTTTTATTTTTGTGTGGAAACATCAAGTGAAATAAGAGCCTAAATATCCCAAATATGTTCTTTGGAAATCATCGTTCAGTCTATAAAATGACAGAAGATAGCGAAATTGCCCACCACAATTGTAAGAGCCGAAGCCATCATCTATAGACTTCAAGTTGTATCTGACTAAAACCCAGAATAGTCAATAGTCAATGATATAGAATGAAGAAATTGATCAAGTCCTCACAATAGAACCATCAAATAATGCCTTAAGAATGTATCAATTTATAATAGTTTGACTCATTTGTTGTAGATCAACAGTTATCTCATAAATAATATTACAGACCATTACAAAGTAACTCCTAAAATGAGCTAAATGATACACATAGACAATATCTAACAGTATTTGAGTATCTAAGATGGAGTATTGTCTTTAAGCTGCATTAGTCAAATGACTGTGCTGTCAGTGTTTATTTAAGCTTATTCTGTTTGCAGTTACTGACGTGTTACCTTGTAGTCGTAGCCAGCGCTGAAGAGGATGCCGCTGCTGGTGGGGTGCCACTCGATCACACCCACCCGTCTGCTGTGGCCGTACAGCTCCAGCACCGCCTCCGTCATGTTGCGTCTCAGACCGCCCTCTGGGATCTCCCATACTCGCACCTGCCACGTTCACATTAACACAATGAATATAAAGGAATACAAGGTGCCTCATCATAAAGAGCACACACACATTTATAGAAGAGGTCAAAAGGTATAATGCTTTAGTCAGAGGCCTCTTCATCTTGTATTTAATGTGAGCTCTAATCTACAATCAGCATGACACAGCTAGACATCCCTCTGATCAAAAATAGCACATGGTATCAATGCAGCCCATTGCATTAGGATTAGACTGGATTACGGCGCTCTGTGTTGGACCAGAGGAGATTATGCTTCAACAAGTGAAAGTACTACACAGGACACAGTGCTACTGTGGCTTCACTATGCTCGGTAGAGTAATGTGACAGGCGCACAGGTTGTTAGCATATGTCGTGTAACATCTGAGATTAAGAATATGCAGTCGGTTACCGAACCGCTGGTGGATTTGTGAATTGCTCAAAAGCATTTCACATCCGTCATTTGCCCTTTTCAGGCCACTGGCTCACAACAGCAACAACAATCAGAGCAGCTACCAGACGAAATCCACTCACAAGCTTGTGTCCAGTACTCACGCTCTGAATCAGAGGCCCTCTGGTCATAATGACGAGATGAACCTCAGCATCTCACAAACTCACGATTTCACAGATACAGTATGTTGTGTCACATCTTCCTACAGCATCATCACCCTCTGTAATCACCCTGAGCCTATACCTGTTTGGTAAACACCATTAAAAATGAAAGAAAGTGGGTCACTTACCGAGGTGTCCTCCGAGCAGGATGCTATGATGTTCTCAAAGAAGGGATTCCACTTGATGTCCAGTACATTGCCTTGGTGGCCACACACCTTTGGGTAATGAGAGTCCAGACGACCACACTGAAACAGAGCGACAGAAGCGTCCTTATTTTGCATTTACTGTAGTTTTTCTGTTTCGGCAAAATAATTGAGTAAATAATTTGTTCCTGGACACAAATAATGAATCTCTATTCATCTATTCAGAACAATACTGAACAAAACTACTCTTTTCTTTCTTTTAACGTGGACATGAAAGACCAACATAATGTAATAAAAGTTCAATCACATTTGTGAGCCGACTTGATAAAAAACAAAAACAGACCTGGTTATTGTACAGGGACATCTGAGGCACTTCAGTGTTATTGCAATAACCCGAAGAGTCCACAGAGGGGCAGTGGCTCATAACAACAGACGACGCAAAGCTCTTAATGTCGGTCATGTTGTCATGAATGTTTCACGTCAATTAAATCCACTGACCTCTTTTTTCTATTTCCTCAGAGATCTGTTTCGGAGCGTCGGGTCATGAAATCCCGCATGTTTAAATGTCCTCACCGAACCCTGAAGATTCACTCCAGATGCTTTATCAAGCCTCACAAACTCTACTATAAAATAATTAAATGTAACATATATATATATATATCGATAACAAAATGCTATTAGCTGCATCTATGCACCTTAATCCTGAAAGAGAAAATGAAAAAATGCATTTTCTAACTGTGCCTTTGTGCTCCTCCCCCAAACTAAAAACAATACATTTCATTTTATAACAGCAGGAGGCAAATTGGTGAAATACAATCACACGTCCTTACTAAGGCTTTGGGTGAAAATGAGTCATCAGCTAGTGTTTACCCATATTAATCAATATAAAGTTGCTACTAACAAATAGCTAGCATATTCTTATCAATATAATCTCAGCAACATACAGTACATAACAGATACATCACTTATCAACATAAACATAAAAAGAAAGCAGATCAATAAATACTTTTTGGACGTCACCAAAACTAAAAAGAAGCGAGCAGGAAGTCTGCTCACAGAAATATGTTTGCCAAAGATACTCAAGTCTTTGCTAACAAGACGAGGAACACAAGCCGAAACCAATAGAGACCAATGTCTGCCAACAGTGAAGAGGGACATCAGTTTAAGAGGAGACAGTGTGACGGAGCCAGACAGAATGATTCATAAACATAACCAACTCGAGTTAGCATTGAAGGCTCTTTGACGTGCTGCTCCTACATGTACAGACGTAAAGATTTCAGGAAAGTAAGAACAACTGTAAAAAAAAAAGACAAGCCAGGCTGATGCCAAGTTTTGACCACGCGTTAGCTTCTTTTTAGAAATCTTACAGTGACTGGGCGGTTTTAACACGGCTTCAAAACATTAATGACATGCGATCATAAGGGACTCCTTATTAAGGTGGAACTAATTACCTGCAAAGAAACAATGTCTGTTGGGAACCACAGAGTTCAGAGGGTTCATGAGGTATTATTAGGGGGAGTCAGAAATGATCATGGAACATGATATAAATAACAGACAGCTATCTCTCCTCTACCACAACGAATACAAATAAGAGAGTGGAAATAGTGGTTGCTAACGTTTGTCTGGATGACTGGCAGGTAAGAGACACAGCTCTACATCAGGCCTCATCGTCTTTCTGCAGCTCATTTCTTCAGACGAACACAGATGTGGAGGCCCGGTACGACAGAAGCATCACACTGTGTTTGCTACCAACGCATGTTGATCTTTAATTCCCAATAAATCCACATTAACGGGGCGGTTCTATGGTTACAGTAGCGGTACATCCTCTTGTAACAGCAGCATTCTATGACTCCTCCGGCTATAAGATGCAATAATATGAATGAATGAATTACAGAACAGGAGGGAATTAACAACTAATGAGGATTCAATACAAGTTGAAGATTAACAATAGGGTCTGTTCTATCCTGCTGTCATCGTCGGTTTCTTTCTAATGAATTCACTGTTCACTGGGAAAAGAACATGCTGAGTCATGCTTTTCCAGTTTTATCACATGTTAATGGTCCAATGCGTGCTGATGCTGCTTTCATACTGTATGCACCAGCAGCACAGTCTGCAGTGTGGTCATTGGATCACTATTTAGAGTTGTTTATAATCAACTCAAAGTGATGGTTTAACTTAATGTTCGTAATAAACTGTAGCAAAATAACATCCTTGTTCATGACTTTGCGCAAACTGCACAATATGTTGGAAATTTCTTTTTTTATAAATGCCGTTAAAACATGTACACAGGAAATTACTCTCATAGATGCCTTAAGAATAGACGTATAAGAGATTACATTAAGGCCAGGTGAACCGAAAAAAGCAAAAAAGAAACTGCAGTAGGTATTTAATATATATTATAGTGATAGTATATTAGCAGTAGTAATGGCAGCAGTGATGTAAAAAGGCACCACACCCACTGCGCCCTCTTTCTTTGTCTGAGGTGATGAAAAGGTGTTTGTGACCTCATGTGTCGATTTCTGGGCTGGTGTGTGTGCCAGGTGGTGCCAGCGGTAGTCCTTCCACTTTCTAGTGAAATTGTCTGGGGGGGGGGGAGGGCAGCCATATGGCCGTCTCGCCGGCTGTCAGCGTAATATGTCAGTCGTTCTCACACCTTGCTGTTAGCCAAACCCTCCACAGATTAGTTTGTATTTTTAATGGAGCGGGATGAGCTCCTTGTGCAAAGACTTCATCTCCTTTAGTGCTCATCTTTTCAACCTTGTTTGTCATTTAGTCTCATATACATGAATACAGACTGCCTCTGATGACGACAGCTATTGATTTCATATATTTCATATATATACAAATATTATTTGTTTTCCAAAAAGCATCTTAACTTCTCTACACCATTCTTTTCAGCTTAAACAATAACACAGGTCCTCTTCTGTACGCTGCCATAAAAAAGGCAACATATGGAGCCTCACAAAGTGTAAGGTCACCTTAAAAAAGAAAAGAAGTTTGCTCTTTTGTTGTTTTGACGGCAGGATACTCCATGAAACAGCAGCCATCATCCCACAGAAGCTGTCATCTAAGCTGCTGAATGTGAGGAATGCCATTTCTAAACTCGTCAACTCAGCAGAAACCAGAGGAAATGCTAAAGTGCTAAAATACTTTGACGAGGAGGAAATCGATCGAGTTATGGCCTTTATGTTATGTTTCAGTTATGGTCATGAATAAAGTCTTTGCACAGCATGAAAAATATCACTTTAAGAATGACTAGTTACTGTAGATGACAATGTGCAATATGTACGTTTTTAACCCTACGATCAGAAGATGCCATCAAACAGAAGATTGTCTCGTTGTTTAGTGCCGATTATTTTCACTTTCTTGAGATTAATCCATAAAAACATCCAGCTGACATCCAGAAATGACAGTCCTCTTTCAAAATAAAACCACTATTAATATCAGCTCTTCTCGTTATATTCACTATATGGGAATCTTCTCACACATAAGTCTTTCTTCTTCATGACTCGACAGACCGGGAAAAAAAATATCTACTTGTTTCCTCTGTACGCCTACCATTCGTTGACACATGCCATCTATTAATATAATTAAAATGAAATGATACTATACCATATAAATAATATTATTATTGGCATTATAGGTCACCTAGTCACATGTGAAACCAGCCAATATGACTTTCTCTTTCTATATTTACAAGCGCTACAGATCAACATGATGCCAGCAAGCATTACTTTAATCATATGATGCTGTGCAGCTCTTCTTCATGCTCAAGAGCTCAAAACAAAGTGAATTTCATAAACAAAGAGAGCCCAGTGGCCTCTGTGTATTACCTTCAGCCTCACCAATTTTAAAAGCCCCATCTGAGGTACAAGCAGTGTAGGTGGACGAAATGAAAAGCCACCTTTGCTTAAATTAATTTCTAAAAGGCTATATCAAGAGATGAAGTGAGCACTTGTTATGTACTCTGATGTTATGTATATAAAATGATACGGCATAGCAACAGTGGACAGAGATTGCTGATGTGACACTGTTCGTTCTGCAGCACTTCAAACTAACTATGTAACATAGTGCTGCAGGGATGAAGTATTTTTGTCGGCCAACCTGTAAATTAGCATCTCACTGGTTCCCTCCACATCCAATGGGATTTTTCCATTGGTTTTTGGAGTATTTCAGACACTAAGATCTGTGGGAATCAGACGTTTGTGATACTTACACGTTTGGTTCGGCAAGATAATCTTACATAACATAATTTTTAGAATTTTTAAAGCGTGAATACAATCGCTAGAAGTATAAGCACGAGCGGGAGTTTACACAAAAAGTTTGTGGAGGCGGATTAGTCACCATGATGACGTTTTGCAGTCTCATTTAGCCACTTGTTGGCAACCGCCTTTTTAAAAAAACTTCACAAGAGTTGTGTTTACTGATGTATTTCATGTTGTTGAACAAAACATCAAAATCTCTTAAGCTTGAGTTAACTGCAGACCTTATTGTAGGCATCTAACCGAAAACCCATTCAAAAAACCCACTGACTTTGAGATGAGGGAACCAGAAGTTTAAAAATGCTGACGCATTTCTGGGTTTTAGTTCTCATTCCTGGAGCACTCTATCATGTAGAGCACGTCGTATGTCTTTTTCCATGACTGAACACCATAAACTAATGAAGACGTAAAGTAAAATGTAGCTGAGGTCTCCTTGCCTCACACAACCTTACTGCTCAGCTTACTGAATACTTATTCTGCCTGATAGCAGCTTGACTCGACCCTGCAGATCAGCCAAGAGCTTCCCAAGCACCTTGGCAGAGTCGCTCTTAAAGAGACAGGCAACATTTAGAAACTACTCTATACTCTTCATATCAAACCTAATATCAACGCCACATAAAATGTGAGCAAACGCATTTTCAGTTAAATGCAGTTATTGGAAATATTACTATCCACCAAAGTGTTGGAAGATTAATCAGTCTATCTGCATAATACCTCTAAAATGTGTGACTGCGAGGCTTATCTTCCATATTAACATCTGCACTGCTGTTGTGTAATGAATAATCCAGCGAAGGCAGCAAAGCCGAATGTTTCTGCTGAATGTGAAGTAAAAATAAATGCATTCCCTTTTTCCTATAATGAGAAAAATAATTTCACGCTTTCAATTTCAACAGCGTCCTTTTGTCTTGTTTATAGGAAACACCAGTATGCCTTTATGTGATTCTATTGGTAAATCTACCCTGTTACAACTTTTGCTTTAAATTCTGGCTTGAGTTTTTAAGGCTGCAATAGAAGGCAGGGAGGGTCTGTGGTGGATTTGTGTGAAAACAGTTTTTAAACTCCAGATCTAACTGTACTGTCAAGTAGCTGAAACAAACAGTAATCTGGTCTAAACCTTTAACAGATACACAATATAAAGCACCTCAACATCCTAAATGCTTTGACTCTCAGTGAGTCACTGAAGCTGTGATTGTTAACTAAGCAGGACCAACAATAAATGAGCATTTTAACACACAATAGAGAAACATCACATATCTCCTCCGACACTGAATTGTACAGTCAAGTGGAAAAATAACCTCAGGGGTCTCCAAAGAGGGGGGAGGACCCCATTAATCTTTGACCCAAGTCAAGCAAATCAAGAGTGTGTCGGTGCCTGTTACCTGGGATACAGGTATAACAATGAAAGAGCCTCCGCCGGCGCTCTCGGTGACGACTGCCAGGAACTTGGAGTTGACGGCGCAGAAGTGGTTGTCATGGACGTTCTTGGTGATGGGGAAACCGTCGAAGCAGTGCTCCCGGTTGCCCACTTTTCCGTAGACGTTTCGAAACTTGGAGCTTCGGTAGGTCGGACGCCATGACATCTGAGGAATATACACAAACACATGAATTAGTTGTTTGTTCTTTTACAGGATATCCAGGTGCATCACTTCTTTATTGGTTCGGGATGCACCATGATACCGGCACGTCATCTGTATCGACAGAGAAAGGCTTCAAAATGAAAAGTGAACATTTCCTCTGATATGACAGGCCGATAAGAAGACGCATACAGTATGTTACACCATTGAGGAAGCAGGTGCAGAAACAAACATGTCTGCGATAAGGATTGTTTTGCAACTCGTGAAATAGGCCAAATTTGCCGGGGTCGTTCCTATTTTCAGGATTGTCTCAGGGACCGCCTCTTCTAAGCCTGTTTAAGTAAGATTCAGTTTTCAGTTTTGTTTGAATCGTGTGACATAAAAATAAATTTGTAACTTCAGTGGAAGTAGTTTTCTTTATTTTGCCCAGTCAATGTGTACATTTTGAAAATCATTGCATTTTACTGCCATAGTAGAGGCTTGATGTTCTCTGAAATTAGATGGAAAAATATATGTACCCAAAACCAAATTCAATTCATACTCTTATAAAAATGTGTACAACATATAGTTTTATTTATTCAACAAATAATAACAGCTCTAGATCTGGATTTGCCATCCAGAACAAGTATTTTGTACATTGAATTTATTGTGGTTAAACTACAGGTATCCTTCGGATGAAAAACCTGCTTATGTACTATTCAGTGTGTCCAGTGTAACATGTAGCCAAGCTGGGGCAACATCATAAAAAAAAAGACACACTGTAATTAAAAAAGTTATCTATTTCCTTTAAGTATTGGTTTGCACTTGACATGATTATGATAATGCACACAGAATTTATGAAGCCTATATGTCAATTTCCCTTCCACCAAACCCACAGTTGCAGGATGGGCTGTCCCATCTGTGCAGACGATAACTGTCACACATACAGTTGTGGGAAATCGTCCAAATTGATCATGCGTGTTACACTTTCAAAGGGTGAGAACTGGGTGATAACTGTGTTGACATCATTTACTGTTGCCTTAGAGCCTGTGATTCATGTGTCGAGAAGGAAAAGCAAGAGTAAATATATTTTTCCCAATAACATAATCACAAAAAAAGACAGCTGTGTAAACCAAAATGACATTTTGAAGTATTTTGGCTCATGTGGATGTTGTACTACAGAAAAGCAGCCTTTGTTTGCAGTCACCACACACAACAAAAGAGAAGTGGTTACATTTGACTCAAGACGCTTCTTTTGTTTGTCACTCCACCACAAGAATGCATTGATGGAGCTCTTCATCTGTTTTGTCGTGAGCAGGCCCCGCACACGAACTCAAAGGTTGACCCAGTCACATGAAGTGGACGTCAAACGCCCTTTGTCCCGTGAGGACAGAAGTTGGTGTCATTTCTCGCTGATGAATGTGGCTGAATCCTCAGAAATCTTCTGAAACCGGATCTGTTTGTGAGAATAAATTCCAGTGACACTATTGGTGGACTGTATCGGTTATAAAACAGGATCTGGCGGGGCAGGATTTACGATTCTTGTCAGATCAGTAGCAGCGGTGCCGGATGACATCAGGCAATCCTCTATTCAGCATTGTTCTTGGGATGTGGAGGGGAACTGGTGGGAGCGGCGTACACATGCAAATAGAAACATCCTCAGACCATGCGGCTACCATTGTCTTTCCCCGTCCCTCTCTGTCTCAAACCAGACTGGAGAAATGGCATCCAGTATGCTCCAGTAGTGTGGGGGATCGCATCGCCCTCCACTCAAAAGTGGCAGCTGTACTGAGCCTGCAGCAACATTACAGCACCACTGATTTTACAGTGTCACAGCAGTTCTTTTGTGTTTTACATATGGTGCTGAAACTATTACTAAACAATTTAAGGAGGCAAGATAATATTCCTCTACAATTACATTTCAGAGGGAGGTACTGGACTTTTATCTCCACTACATATAGTTAGTAGTTACTCTTTTAGATTAAGATTTTACAAACATCTATAAAACATGATGTATTGGAATAGATTTAGCAACCTGCACTGGCTCTTTGTCCAGAATCTAAATCAAACTAACGTCAAACCAAAAGGCGAATGAAATGTACGCAGACAAAAGATGTCCGCTGGTACACACTGCAGATGTTTCTGTTTTCTTGTGGTTTATTTATCCTAAGAAACAAACAAAGAAATCATGGCTCCTCCTGCCTCTCTTGCTCTGGTGAAAAAATTAAATGAAATAGCATAGACCCTCCCAGGTGCATGCTGGTCCTATACCTGCCTACCTAAACAGACCTGAGGTGCCTGTAGTGTTGTCAAATTCTTACAAAATGAGAAACAAGCAAAAGAAAACAATGTCTAAATAAAGAAAATATCTGGAATAAATCAGTCTCAACGGTACATAAAGTAGTTGAAATTAACTCCAACTAGGCAAGCTAAAACATTCAAATGCTGCGTACACCTAATGCATATTATTTATATGAATATAAAATATACATATAAATAAAGCAGCCATTTTAACAACTGCTTTGGTATTTGATAGCTTGCTTCTTTACTTTTACTTTTAACTTTGAAGGTAAGACCTTTACTTGTAATGGAGTACTTGTACATTGAAGTATTGCTACTTTTACTGAAATAACGGATCCAAGTACTTTTACCAACCACTATTAAATGTGAGGATTGTATTCTTCTCTCTGTTTTATATCATGTTATTTAACATACTTTTAGACTGCTGCTCAGAAAAAACAAGCAACATGAAAACACGTGATTAACCGTTAGTTGCAGCCCAACATGATTCTATAAACATCTCCCCGTCATCCCGGTCCAGCCCAGATCGTCTGCTCTGAAGCCCCATGTCTGTATGAGCAGCATAAAAGCAGCTTGTTAAAGAATTAATGTAGAACAGAAGAGCAGCAGAGAGTGGCCTGAGGGACGGTTGGAGGAGAGGGGAAGAGGAGACTCATTCATTGGTACCGGGGGTACGGCACAGAGAGGATATCTGTGTCTTTCTTATCTCACGAGGGTTTGCAGCAATAGGAACACACACACACACACACACACATACACACAAAGACAGACCATGAGCAGCGGTGTGCATGTACACAAAAACTCAACAACTCAGAGAAGAAAGTGACTTTGTCTCCATCGATGCAGATCACAAGACCTGTGCGTTGTGAGTAAGACTCCCTCTAGGGTTAAACAGTCCTTAGCTTTGCAGACATTTGTTGTTGTTTTTTTGCATCTTTTCACCACAGAAAAAGTTTTACGGCAAGTTGGATTCAAATAAAGACCCCTTCATATCCAACATACATATCTGTGCGCCACTTAATGACCCTGAAAATGTCACCTTACCTTACCAGTGTCCATACAGTGACACTAAAGTCACCGTGTTGCTGCGGCCTTCTACAAACATCCACCCTCCGTCCTCAACGAGCCGCCGGGACTCTCCTCTCTTCCTTCCTTCCCCTTCAAATCCAAGCAGGCGAGCCTGTGTCTGCTCTACCTCCTTCTCTCTCATGTTTGTCCCCCCCCCCCTTTAAACTCTCTCTTCTCCTCCTACTGGTACTGATAGCTGGAGGGCTCACACTCCCCCTCTCTTTCCTCCTCTCACCCTTCTCTCCCATCCTGCCACTCAGCCGGCCCTCTGTCTCTGTCTGTCTCGGCCACAGTTCGTGCTCCAGTCAGTAGTAGCCATTCATCCTCTTCCCTCTCCCACACACTGCTTGTTTGGAATCTCAAGGCCCTTCTGGGCTGATTCCCAGCTTCCCAGCACCACCAGCAGTGTTTCACTCCCCCCATCCTCCCTCCTTTCAATCTCGTATCTCTACTCTTATCTTTTACTCCACAGGTATGAAACCTACCGAATTTCTGTAGCAATAAAACATTTTAAAACTTGAAACATTGACAAGGAATGTAGAAGACATCTTCTAAAGGAGTTGCACAATCTACAGTTGCCTCAAAGCTAAAACTAAATGTCCTCTAACTCTTCCGTATCTGTATTTTACACATAAAACTTATGTACTGTAGCTATATGAAGAAATCCATCATCATGTCTTTCAGTCAGTTTTCATTTTTTTGCTCCATGTAATTCTTTAAACAATCTTAGTGTTATAAAAGTAGGCAGAAAACATTGTTTTTCCCAGCATTTAATGATATAAACTTAGCTTTTAACTGAAGCGATCATTGAAGTTAGCCGTTATACGTATGTAGTTATACGAGAGGTAAAGCATCCACATTTTGTATTTTGTTTCCACATTTTCCTCAAAAAAGATCTGGCTGTGATTTCATGCTCTATTATTATGAGTAATTACTTCATCCTGCTCTTATTATAAAAAATGTATAAACAATGTATGTTAAATTAAGCTTTACAAGAATGTATTTATAAATTAACTAATGTCCTTTGGTGTTAAAGTCTATTTTAGCTATTTATTTTGTTACAGTGATCATAATACTTAGGAGCTGTGTAAGACTTTAGTGCTACGCATTTAAAGTCATTAATAAGATCTTTGACACACATATTACCGTCGTTATGTTACCAGAGTCTCAATGTATCAACAACACTTGAAATAACTGAAGTTAATTTGAGCCTCAGTGTTTGTTCCTATTTCAATGGATGACTCCATTAGGAACAATAATTACATTTATATATACACAATCATATAAAAAATGCTGACAAAAACATCTTTGCCAGGAAGATGTGCACTTTTCCAATAACAAACTAATATTCGAGAACCTGTAAATCCTAAAAATGTCTTTTTCATCTTATATTCAAATGAGGATAATTGTGTGAATGACGAACTGACAAACCCTGGAGTCATTCCTCTGAAACGACCCCCGGTCAGATCGATGCACAGAGGCAGGTGTTATAGTGAAAATTGCATCCCCTGATGGTTGTCTGTGTGTTTGAAATGTAGGTGGAGCCCTGCAGGTCCAATATGAAGGTGGTTTTCCTCGGCCTCTTTGCCTCGGTGTGTGTGTCTCTGTGTCTTTTTCATGTGTTGTACACGTGTGTCCGTTTCTGTGCCTCCGTCCATGTGTTGTCTGTTTGCAGCAGTATACATTTACTGTTGTGTTTGTAGCTTCAAGGCAGACCACTCCAGAGAGTAGTGTGTGTTTATTGAGTTTCTTTTTTTTACGTCTTGCTTTAAGACGCTGCTGCTGCTCTGTGCACACTCAATCTTTCTCTTTCCTCCTCTCTCTGTGGGGTGTTAAACCTCTTTACGATATCCTAAAAGCAGCAAATATTTGTATCTCAGTTAAAAACAGTATTATAACACACAAAATAACTGCAACAAACCACAAAATAGCAACGTCTCTCTGCATCCCAGCTGCAGTCCAACGTCCTCTCCCTTCTCAAACTATACACAGTAAATGGCAGCTTACTGACTCATTATGAACCATAAAAAAGCCATTCAAACATCATCCATGGGTTAAACTATTCCAATCAAGATTTTCTCAATGTCGGTGCCAAATGAGGAAGTAGGGCCATCGGAGCTCACATTCAATAGACACAAAAGGGAAATCCGCAGGGCGACTGCATGGCTCGTCACACAAGTCGCCGTGTCCTGTTCTGTGTTTTCCTCCTCTCCCTTGGCAGTGACACTGCCCACTCATTCATGATGACTTCCCATCTCTCCCGTGAGGCGTAAATACCACAATAAGCGAGATATCCTATTGGTTCTTTTAACCAAATGTTCTCTCAGCGGGAAGCTGGATCTCACAGAGGAAGTGTCACAGCTTGGCTGAAAGCGCTGGAAGATTTTCTACACTACGATGGCAATGCCTGATGCCTATTTGCAACCCAGTAGTTATCAGCTGACAATCAGCATCCTAACCTATCCCTTAGAGAAGTCACAGTTTCTCACAAGGTTTTCTCAGATATGAATATGCATTGTCTAAATTTGCAGTGACAGGCTCTCTTGCAGTATATACAGTATAAACCCTACATGCTGTATACATGTTTATGCTTTGACGTTGGTCATTTGTAACTTATAAAATATATTTATTTATTTTTCCACACATTTGTGTATACATAATATTCTTGTCTATTCCCTATATTTATTTGTCCAGCGTTGTTGTCTTTGTTAACTGTTGACTAATTTTGTGTAAGTAAATTGAGAGTAATGCAAAAACTGTCAAAAGTCGAATTTGTACACATACTTTGCCAATAAAGCTGTTTCTGATTCTTTTTTTTGTTTTACAGCAGTTCGTGAGATTGGGTAAAACCTTAAGGACGCAAAAATTGTGCAAAGTTAAAAAAAATATTTTGAAAGAAAAGTCACTCAGTCCACAACAACAATGTTTTCTTCCCTTGTGAAAATACATGCTGACAACTGTGTATGATTTTACAGGACAGAGCTTTGCTGAGATTTCTTTGACAAATCAAGTGCATGTATTGCAAAGCATTAAGATTCGGCTTTGGTGAATATTACAGTGATGAGGACGTAAGAACCTGCTGCAGCGTTTTCTCCGTGCTCACAAAATGTGACTTGTCTTGTAATATGGAAAATAAATCCCAGGAACACGCTGCATTTACCCAGAAAGAAACGCTGAATAAGAGATTGCATTGAAGCCAGTGGAACAGACGTGACGTCAATGCTTTAAGCAAATCAAGTTCATTTCTACCGTTGGCAACAATGACCGGCGGCAGTTGTCAGTCAATACAGGAGAATTTAGCACCTCATTGCACACTTCAAAGTTTCCATGAAGCAGTAGTCCAAAAGCCCACTTATAGAGCAAATCTTACTTCATACAATTAGCTGAAACTGCATACTGCATAATGCCTGATGCAGACAGCCACGCATGCATTGTTTGCCTACCGCATCACATACACACATTAGTGAACGGAAGGCACTGCCAACTCTGCCGGCGATAGCAGCTGTGAGCAAGTGGCAAGAGGAGTAAAGTAAAACAGAACGGAATAGATTCAACACACCTGCTCCAAAGTGAATCAGTCCATCTGGATTGTTGTCGGATTTTCCAGATGGCCACTTCAGGAATGTTGGGAAGGTAATCTTTTATTTGGAGCCTGCATTCATTTCAATCAGTTGAAAAAGAGAGGTCACATGAGCTCTTGGAACACACTCAGTCTCCATTATCGGGCCCATTACTGTCCATCAAATCATTTCTGAAGTTTTTCAAACAATTGAGAAGACGCACTAAAAACTGTGGTCATTCTAAAGCGTTCTACATTGACTTCAGAAGTGGCAGACAAAGAAAATTGAGTGGCTGGTAGAAATGTTCAGTGACCTGACACTGTGGTAGGTGAGAAAACCCCTTTTTCACACCCTAGTTAGGAGGCCATTAAAGTCAGTGTGTTACGTCTTAAGGGACCGTGAATGTCTGATTGACGGACAGATTGACAAAACATACTGAGTGCATGGCTGAGTGTACTTTAAGCATTACAACAAATACATTGTCTATCACGACAGGCTAAATCTACAGCGGATTGAGCTTTTTAAAAAAAATATTATTATTATTTGAATCACTGAGCACAGTAGAAATGTGAAATATATCATGTAACCCTTCACTAAACCCCTCAATAAATCTTAATATAAGGAAAACCTATTTGCCATGGTGGAAGTTGACCTGGAATTTTGACTTATTAACTATCAGTTTAGTTGCTAAAGATATTCAAAGTTACTTGGGTATGAATATTAATTATTTTAAAGGTGCTCAGCCGTTGCCATTGTGAGCATAAGGCTAAAAGTAGCACTCTGCATCAACACAGCCTTACAGGGCTGCTAGCATGGCTTTAGTGTTGTTATACAGACTGTGCCAGCCACTACCTCGGTGTGCCGTAGATAGTGCATTGGAGAAAAAGAGCAGAAAGGAGCAGGAAATATTGTTGCAGCTGTAATATTGTCAAAAAACGCTCAAAAGCTAGTGGTCGAAATTTCACGAGTAGTACGTTTAACCTTACATACAGTAACACAACCATGAAACTCATTGACTCCATCTTTGTTAATTACTTTGTAACTAAAAAAACCCAAAGTAAAACAGTTAAGTATTACTTAAGTATTACTTTATACAGTCTTTGTGCCATAGATAGATGGTGAAACAGCTGCCAGTGCTGTTTGAGTTTTGGAGTGTGCGTTCATGATGATAGGGTATTACTCAGCGATAATGACAGGAGATGCAGGAGCTCGGTTAATGGCAGCTCTTAGGCCTTTAGCCAGCCCCATTAAGCAGCTGTAATGGTGCAATGAGGCCACTACCCAAGGACAGGAAACCCAGAAACCCAGCTGAAGGGCACTTATCAGAGCACAAGCATGAAGGAGTGGGTGTCCCGGAATCCATCCATCCATCGCCCCGTGGTGTCAAAGGACGTGGATGACAGCAGTGTTATCGTCCAGCTAATATAATTACTATGGATATATACAGTGCTGTAGTCCTGTGTACACATACAATAGTTCACAATCAAACGCAGACAGACACATTTATTTCCAATTCCACTTAAAAGGTCAGTCATCGAAAACCAGAAGGATGGTCTAAATTAATAATCTCCCCTGTGCTTGCCTTTCCTTTCCCCCAGGAGTTTTTCTGCCACGTGCTTTTTGGAGCATAATAATGCAAGCTGGCCTTCGCACCCCGAATGTCAGAGGGGGGTTGTGGACTCAAGGTGAAGGAAAAGTCCAGAGGAAACAAAGACACAAAAGAGGACATGTGAGGCACAGTGACAAAAGAGGAGATGACGTGATGTGAATGCTGCCTTAAAGAGAGAATAAGGGACTCGAGGTGAAGGAGAAGACGAGATAAGAAAAGAGAAGAAGAAAAGGCAGAGGAAGACAAACAAAGAATGATGAAATATTGAAAGACACAAAGGAAAAAAGCAGACAGAGAGGAGGAGCAGAGGAGGTTTTTACCAGACAGAGATTAACTCCCCTCTGTCAGACCACCTGCCTGCTCTGCAGCACACACCGCTCTGAGCCAACTGTAACTGTCTGGAGATAAATGGATTGATATTTTAGTATCTTAAAAACTCACAACTGAAGCATCAAAATGATGAAAAAAAAATATATATCAACTTCCAAGAAGCATTTAAACTTCATCTTTATTTTGTCCTTATCCTGACGGCAATTCCCTCAGATGTAATGCCAGTGAGCTGTTATCTCTGCTGTTATCATATCTGCAGATTATACTTTGATATAAAAGTTGAGCAGCATAAGCTGAAATGATTTGATTTTGTTGCCGTTTGAAGACACAACTTGAACCATAGTTTCCATTCTATAAATGGTGGACATCTGCCTGAGCAAAGATAATACGTAAGGATGAATGAAATTGTGCTTTAGGAGAAAGCTTCCAGACTTTTTGGAGAAGCGACACTAAAGAAAGTTGATTTATGTCATAGTACACAAATCTCATCAGCTCTGAAATGAAATCCCTCTGGCGGTGGTACAAATTGAGAAAGACAAATGGCACTGAGCCAAAGAAGCAGGAGCACTTTCATCAGATTATTGAAATCAATCATTGAAGTAAGAAACATTTATGTGGAACGATTAATCATTCGGTCCATTATGATTTCAGATCTGTTAAGATATTGAGCTCCAAAACTTCAAGGTGATTGCTGAGGGTGCACGTTGACTGGCATCATAATTACCTCTTGTGAGTCAAATACAAGCAGTAGCTCTGTCTTGGCTTTTTCTGACCAAACAGTTCTGGGAATTTCCTAAGAGGAACTGCCCATTGGGGAGCTCCCCCAAGCACCAAATACCTTCAAGGGCTTTTTATCCGTTTGCGTACGCACTGCAAATGAGTATGCTGAAGTGGCGTCGCTCGCTGTTCTTCCAGCGGGAGATGTGCTCGAGCGGTGAGTTTGCTACGTTTGACCAATCCTGTACACGTGCGTCACTCATAGTTCCTCCTGTTCTTGGAGAGTACTTACTTATACTAAAATAGGAGCTAAAAAAGTCCCTCAAAACAGCGTTCTAGGAACAAGGATCATTCCTAGATTGTAGTTCATGAAAGGATCGTTCTAGTTCTAGTTCATGAAAGGATCGTTCTAGTACAGGAAAAGATCGTTCTAGTTCTAGTTCAGGAAAGGATCGTTCTAGTACAGGAAAGGATCATTCCTAGTTCTAATACAGGAAAGGATAGTTCCTAGTTCTAGTTCAGGAAAGGATCGTTCCTAGTTCTAGTAAAGGAAAGGATCGTTCCTAGTTCTAGTTCAGGAAAGGATCATTCTCGTTCTAGTTCAGGAAAGGATTGTTCCTAGTTCTAGTTCAGGAAAGGATCGTTCCTAGTTCTAGTTCAGGAAAGGATCGTTCTAGTTCTAGTACAGGAAAGGATTGTTCCTAGTTCTAGTTCAGGAAAGGATCGTTCCTAGTTCTAGTACAGGAAAGGATCGTTCCTAGTTCTAGTTCAGGAAAGGATCGTTCCTAGTTCTAGTACAGTAAAGGATTGTTCTAGTTCTAGTTCAGGAAAGGATCGTTCCTAGTTCTAGTTCAGACAAGGATCGTTCCTAGTTCTTGGTTTGCGGACACCACAAATATGGGATTTCTAAGAACTATGAAAAAGTTCCTCTGGTCCGAAGACTACTTTTGATGGGTATGCTAACACTTTAGCTGAGCTGTAGGTGGATGAGCGTTTTTTATTTTAAGTGTGCTGATGTGTGCTTGTGTCTCTGTGCAAGAGATAATTCTTTCATTGGTTATTCGGTGACCAAACTTTAGCCCAAGGTTTAATGAGGAACCCAACTTTGACTGTGACTTGACTGACAATGGAAAACACATGACATTACGTCTGTAGCTTAACTTACGTTACGGTCGATCCTGCTCAACTGTCTCAATGACCAGATGGACTGAACACCCATTTGGTATCTCTACCACCTCAATCTATCACATGTCTCCTTTCTCTTTCTGCTGTGTCCTCTCACTATCTCTTTCTCTCATTCTGTCTCCCTTCGCAGGACTGATTGGATGGATGAGCGTGAAAAAGCCAACCCTAGACAGAGAAAGTGGCCCAGTTATGTGCCATACCATCTGCTTGGCCAAGGACTTCTCCATTCCAGACAGTGGCCGACTTAACCTTGGCAACAAGGACTTGTGCTGCTAGAATCCTGATCTTCCTATCATTTATGTGATACTGCTTGGAAGGACATGTAAGAATATGATAATTAATCCAAGAAGGAACTAAATCAGAAAGATCAAGTAATCATCAATCCAATAGAAAATGAAAAATGTTTGTCACCTTGGTGCAAAACTACTCATTTATTTTTGAGATAGTACTTTGATAAATAATGTATATACAGAAGCACGTTTGTACATGAAATGAAATGGTTACATTAAATATGAAAGCAACTGCAGACATAACACCAAAATAAAGGAACACACAGAATAACAGTCTAAAGCATCACTGGTGGTTCCTAGAAGCTGCAAGGTTCCTTACATCTGACAGCATGGACGTGATGGAGAAACTAAATATATACTGCCATTTTTTATTGTTTGGGCAGTGGGACTAAAAATGTAAAGTTTGTTCAGAGCGTTAAACTGACAGACAACAAATGCGTTTATCTCTTTGTGAACAACAAATGTTACAAAAACCCACTATTACATTATGAGATACAGTATATTGTGTTGACATTTTGGCACAAGAATGGTGCAAGATGAAATTGAGTATCTGGCATTGAAGGAATTCATCCTCTGGGAAGCGTGAATGAGTAAATTTCATGGTCTATCTGCTTTCTAGATTTAAATTTTTTCTGGTGTACAGGTGGTCATTTTGGCCAAACACTGGTGCTACACAAATAGTCAGGGATTCAACAGAAACTTGAGGAATCATCATTGGTTTACCTTGAATTTTCACAGCAAACGCTGTGCGTTTTCACCAGTCTTTCCAGTCGTCGTTGAGATATCTTGCTATGGACCATAAGTATTGATTAACTGACGGACAGAAGGTGCAGATGCCGGACACCAGTAGCGGAAGGATATTATATAACCATTTGTCTGATATGGTTACCCAGGGTAAAGAGATAACGAATGTCCTTGTACAGGAACCTCATACACGTTAATATCATATTAGAGCACCAGGTCAGGTCTCTGTAATCTCTTTATAGTTACTCACTTTAATGGAGTAGTTGGTTCACAATGAAGGAGGGTCCATGTAATAACTACAGGTTCTAAGAAATGCAGAATGTACTTGCACTCCATATTATATATTAATTTATCATTTGGAAAAGGTGAGCTGTGGTTTGTTGATGTTGGAGGAAAAAATCCAGTAGCCAGAGAATTAAACAGCAGTAAAATTTAAGAGCGCATACCAAGATAAAGCTTCTTCCTGACGTTAAGAGGACTAATTGGGCCACAGGATTTTTCTCCTTCTGTTGGTTTTTCAAAGCAAATGAATGATGTCACAGTCTATTATCATAGGCAGGATACAAAGAAGGGCAAATCTGTGAGAGACAAACCGATTGCAGCAATGTTGGCACCTTTGCCAGTTTTAGAGTGGGGGCAGGGAAACTCCAGATGTTCCTGTTTATCCAGAGCAGCGGTTGTGACGAAAGACTTCTAATGGGTTTTTTTTCGAGCACAGTAAGCAGGTTAAACCACAATTATAGCATAGAAATCAAGCCGGTGCAGATCCTGTGTGAAGATGGCAAGATGTGTATTGAGATAGTGCTGTTTAAAACAAACATATGCACTCCTGCACATCTGGTATCATTTCTCCAGTGTCTTCAATATTGTCTTTCTCAGCTTTCTGCTCCAATCGAGAAAAAGAAGAGGAAAAAAGAAATACCTACTTAACACTTCAAAAATGTGCACACACACACACACACACACACACACACACACACACACACACA